GATGTCCACTGTGATGTTTTTACTGCTATTAGACAATCTAACACTTTTAAACTCAAAAATAGTTAAATTGCAATTAAAAATTGTTTCCTTAACTACATCTCCAAGCTATGGGATAAAAACTAATCTACTTCACTTCATTTTCACCTATTCCGAAGAGAGGATGTTGGTCGGGGCTTTTGAAGATTTGACCACCAGCTTCCTCCACTCCTTCTGCTCTTCAGAGCGTGTCTTTGAGGTCCAGGCCTGTCCATTTCTTGATGTTGTTCTTCCAACTCTTCGTCGGTCTATCTCTGCTCCTTTTTCCCTGGACGTTGCCTTGCAAGATCATTTTGGCAAGGCCGGATGAACGGGTGATGTGTCTATGCCATTGCCGTTTGCCGTTTGCGGTTCCTGAACAAATTGAGAAGATCAGGGTATGGTCCAATTGCATTTTTGATCCGTTGTTTTGACTTCATCATTTGTGATGTGATCTTTGCATGAGATACTAAGGATTTTTCGGAAGCATCTCATCTTCACAGCTTTGATCCTTTTTTCAAGGTCTTCATTCAAGGTCCAGAATTTACATGCATATATTTCTGTCTTTCCAACTGGTTCTCAACTTGGTCATTGCTGTAGAAGTTTGCCCTATTCTGGAGATTATTTCTGGTTTTGATCCTTGGTCTGTCACTATTGCACGCAGGTATTTGAAGCTGCGTACGGTCTCAAGCCTTTGGTTTTGACCTGGATGTCCATATTCTTGCTACTGTTAGACAATCTTAAACTTTGAAACCCGAAAATAGAAAATCCAGTTAAATTGCTGTTGAGAATTATTTCCTTCACTATATCTCCAGGCTGTGGGATAAAAACTAAAGTAAACAACTAACAACAAGCTTCACAGTGCCCAAACTGGACCCACGAAAATCTTCTGGCCTTTCGAGAAGAGACGAAAAAGTTTTACTCGTTTACGTATTTAGATGCTTCATGGATATCTCCTGCTTTGAGATGAGAAACCGCTCTGTGTCAGATGCGATTCAGACTTCACCATTAGACACTTTAGAATGTCCGGACTTTGGAGAGACCCGATGTAAATATTTTAAATGCACAAAATTAAAAGGTCTGTTCTCCGTCGTTGATCCATATAGAATTCTCAAATCTATAAAAGTCATTAGCCTGTATTCTAAAATGTAGATCATTTTTGTTTTAAAATGTAAACTGCTGTTTTTATTTTCTAATCTTTTTAAAACAAGATTTGTTTACCATGAGATGTTTTCCTTTACTTTAAAAGTAAGATGTTGTGAATGCTATCAAATTGTGTTTCGTGGGTGCATGAAGTTGCGAGCGCCTTAAAACTCTTATTAAACTAACTGCAGAGCGTTGCTCCATGATGTACTGCAGAGCAAGCTTCTGGATTCCAACTCGTAGCTGGGTCCGCCACGTGCCGTCTCACACACACACCCGGCGATACACAAATCAGAAAGCTACTGTCGTTATGTGGACACCAAAAATTCTGCACACACTCGAAGTGTGTATAGCGTTGTGTATAGAAATAACGAAATAACAGCGCTATTCGGACCGGAACCAAATTCAAAAATATTTTAACACATGATGTAATTTTTGGCGGGAAATGCGATGGTGACCTTAAAACATTATATGGACGTCTACATAAGGGGGCATGTCTACATAACGTGAGTGTGCAAATATACTTTTGTCTACATAACTACGCAAACACACACACACACACACACACACACACACACACACACACACACACACACACACACACACACACACACACACACACACACACACACACACACACACACTCACAATCACGTACATACAAATGCACACTAGTGGCCTATCAACACAACAGTGCTTTAATGCTAAGTTATTCATGCAAACCCCCCCCCCCAAAAAAAAAAACAAAAAAAAAACGCTCACTCCACCTTACACCCCAGCTTACACCTCAACTTTATTTATTATGCTTCCAGGTGCTTACTTCTGCTTGAGTCTGATTATGATCACCCTCTCGACTGTACTGGCGTGTGTAGTTGCCAATATGTACTTCTTACTGGAGTCCGAGTCAACAGGGCGCCAAGATGGCTCAGATCTGTACGTATGTGGATGTGATAAAGTTGTCTTTATTCATTTTCTAGTATAGGGTGATTTGCGCCCCTATTTACACAGATTATAAATTATCATTTAGAGGGCTAGCTTTGACCTTGCCTGTCAGGCCCAATCCGGACTGGGAGAGATACAACGTACAAAGGTCAAGATCCTTAATAAAAGTACTAAATACTCACAACACAGGAATCGAACTAATTTTTTTCCTATGCTACCTGGAAGCGAAAAACCGCTACACCACACTGACAGAGAGGGGATGACTGTAAAGACACAGAGAATATAACAAAGGATCAAAATTATTTTTTTTTACGAGAGAGGCCATTGAAGTATTATTCTTGGAAACAAGCGATGGAGGGTACAGGAAACTAGAAAGGGAAAGGTCGAAAGAGAAAATGAAGACCTAAATTTACAAAAGATTTCAGATTCTGACGAAGGATTCTGATTTGGCCTACCCCCCCCCCCCCCTTTTTCCCTCAAACCCCCTTTCAAAAATAGGTCACTAGTCAAAAAAGCTGATCACGAACTCCCCCCCCCCCCCCCGGTAACGATATGGCCAAATGACGTTGTGGCAGCGAAATCGAATTTCCACTCAGTAAAAAATAAAGTACAGCTGCATCCATACCAAAGAGGTAGTATAGCTTTTCACTTTCGTCTTACCATGGTTAAAAGAGGGTAAAATCAAATCGCTTTGCTTAATTTTCTCAGATCTTTGCATATAGGTTTTAAAATTGGATGACCAAGTGAATCTGAAAGCCCATTCATAAAGTATACTGCAAACTAAGGTTTTCTTAGGTGTAAGCCTAATGCGGTGTTCACTACTACTACTACTACTACTACTAATACTACTACTACTACTACTACTACTACTACTACTACTACTACTACTACTACTAATAATAATAATAATAATAATAATAATAATATTAAAAATGATAATAGATATTTGTATAGCGCAAATCCCCGCTCAACAGCAAGCACTATGCGCTTTACAATTTACACTATTATCCCAGCAGACCTGAGAGCACTCTGAAACAAATTCAACTTCCAGGGAGGCATACAGTGCAAGTGGCCATTTATGGGCGCTAAAACACAAATATACTGACAAGATTTTTCGCTGTCTATGGCCGGGTACCCATTCCCACCTGGGAGAAGCAGGGAAAATTTGTGTGCAGTGACTTTCCCAAGGGCACAACGTCGGGCCCGCGGCTCGAACCCCCGAACACACAAACAGAAGGAGAGTCGACGAGCAATTCCTTTGTCTGAGTGCAAGCGCTATGTGAGCACTTTTTAGATGTTTTAGACACTTGAAAATATTTCCAATTGATAAAGCAGATTGATGTTGCTCTACTAAAATAGTCCAAAATCGAAAAATTGTTTTTGGATACCAAAATCGCCTTTTTCTGGCTGTTGGCTACTGCCGTGGTGTACCTTAACCAGAACCGTTGACTCGCTTCGCATTCCTTGATTGATTGATGAAACAGTAACAATGACAACTTGTAACAAACTTAAAAACAGAAAATGAGTTTACATTCTGCAAGATTTTGAACTCCTTCAATCTTTCACTCTTCTATTCCCTTCGATGCGCTTGTAAAAACAGTGAGTTCACGCCAATGGGAGACAAGGTCCAACAGACGGTTGAGTAGTTTTTGAGACGCACGTGATGCCATCTAGACGACCTTAAAAGGGGAGGGGGGGGGCTACACCTGAAGGCTATCTCGCTTATAACTGGACCGAATTGTACCAAATTTCACTCATATAACAAGCATAGTAAGGAGTCTTAAAATCAGTAATCACATAATTTGAGAAAAAAGTTTCGTTTCCATGGATACGGCGGCCATATTGGATTTTTATTGACATGTCTTACGTAATGAATACTGCACTCATGGCTCATAAAAAAAATTATTGTGTTTTTTTTTGCATGCGTGTAAACAAACATTCGATCTAAAAATGTGTCTGTAATTTTTTTCCTAAACGAATTAGAACATTTTTAATGAATTTTTTTTCTGAGGTAACATTCAAGTTTGCAAAAATTCCGTGAAAATCCACACCCCAGACACCACCAACAAAAATCTATTCCCTATATCAAAAATTCAACCCACAAATTTTAGTATTACATCTTTTCTTCACTCTGAGAAAATTTAATGAAGATTGGATGAAAAATGGTGGAGTTATTCAAAAAGGTGTAGAGGAAAGTCTCGTTTTGAGAAAACGGCCGATAAAGAAAAATAAAACATTGACTTTATGAGGAAATGGCGGTGACAAAATGTCCGGTATGGGAAAAAATACGGGGTTTTTTGTTCTTATGCAATGAAATAGTTGTAGGAGAGGCTGAGGAAGCTAACAATGTCTAAAACTCAAATTCCAAAATTTTGAGCCGAATCTTGACTTTGGGGGGTACCCCCCCCCCCCTCTTAAACAGAAAAAACTAAGTGATAGCATTGAAATGTGGGTGCATGACGGTGGTGGTGTCTCAAAATGGGAAATTTGTGGGCTAAATAACTGTATATTCAGTCATTGTTGTGATCCTGTGTAAGTCCCAACATGGGTTTTTTAAAAATATAGAGCACAAAGAGAAAAACTTTTTTAAAATCACTGGATGAAGAATTTTTTGAAAAAACTAAATTTTGTTCGGTCACTTGTCTGCAGAAGTGTCATGCAAAGTTTCGTGGGCTTAGATACATTAACAAGTTAGCAATAGCTTGTTCACTTTCGTCTGACCGCGAAGATTCTAGCTCATTGAGGAATGTATCTGTGCCCACGAAATTTTGCTTGCTACTTCTGCGGCCAGCCACCAAGAAAAAAACATTTTTTTCCAAAATTCTTGACCCAGTAATAAAAAAAGTTTTTCTCTTTGGGCCCTATATTAAAAACCGCTCTTTGGATGCACACACAGGATCACTAAAATTAATGACCTATGGTAGCCTTGCCTACAAATTGCTCATTTTGAGAAAGTGACACCGCCCTGCCCCTATATTTCAGGGTGAGCTTGTAGACACATCCAGGAGTCAGACGAAGCGGGTAATATAAACGATGCGTCGACATAATAATTTAGCATTTTCCATGTGAATTTCTGGTTGACTAGTTTATCGTACTTGCAACCCTATTAGGTCATATCAGTGCCGAAAATTAGAAAAACAATTGTGAAATGGTATGGGTTTATCGTGCCTATCAACACTTTTAGGTTATTTAAGAGGCGGGATCTCCGAGTTTAACGTCCATCTCTGAAAAGAACAAACGGTATTTTCGTGTAAAGTGCCTTTCCGAAGGACACAACGTCGGGCTGAGCAGAAGCTCAAACTTCCGAACCCTCAACCTCATAAGTACGAGTCCGGTAGCCTAACCACTAAACTACCGACACTCCGAAAACTACAGATGTTTCAAAAGAGAAACGGACACAAAAAGGAGGGGTGTGGACGATAATTTGTTTTAAATAGGAAAGCAGGAGCAATGGGCAAACCTCAACAGAGCCCCCGCCAATCACCCTCTCTTTATCGACGAAAAACTCCATAAAACAAAAGAACAATGAAAGAAAGAATAGGTGCACCCAACCCATCAGGCACGTAAGAGATGTGGTGAATTACACCACTCCGCGAGAATTCTTTATAATAATTATATCAGCACCAACGTATTCAAAAGCAAATCCAAATTGTGTAATAGTACAGGCAGTCTATGCCTTCAAACTGGTGCACAAAAACACATACAAACGCGCGCGCCGGCGCGTTTACGCGCACACACACACACACACACACACACACACACACACACACACACACACACACACACACACGCACACACATGGAATAAACACAAAACACAAACATACTGACACTAACTGGGCCACCTTTCAATGAAAGGAATCAAATATTTTTTTTCAAAATCAGGAAATAAAAAAATAAAAAATCTGGCTCCGCCATGGAGACATATCTATCTTTTTGCAGGTACTTGCCAACTTTCAACTCTGTAGCTGTCGCAGTTTTATGGAAAAAGTGACACTTGTGTTTCCAAGTTGCCAAATATATAATAGATACCAGGGTTTCCAGTTCGACAAACGGACTCAAAAGAATCGATCGTCAAGTCATTGTGGGATCATTTTGTGAACAAAAGCCTAAGTTGTTTACAATGGCGTCTTAGAAGACGGACTTCCCCAAGATTAGGTCTAAACGAAACTAAAGAGAAACTGAAAATTTAACTACAGTGTTTTCGGACTCCCCAGTAAAACTATACACCCTTTAAATGATTCTGAACCACCTCTATTTTATTTTTTTCAAATTCGAAAGTTAAATTGTTCGGAAGTTTTAGGCGGCGAAAATAACGTACTTTCACAAATATAATGAATAAATATACAGGGTGATCCAAAAAAACCCTTTACAACTTGTTTTGTAAATATATTCCTCCGTACTGAGGTTTTTCGTTTCAGATTTGAACATAACGTTTGGAAGCCCAAAGGAATTTCTCTGATATGTATTTTCGGTAAGTCCATTGAATGGATTAGCGCATTAAAAAAACAACCCATTTTCAACCTTGTTACCATTTTTATAGTTCGCGTTAGGCCTACCACTAAAAGTTGCAACAATCGCGCCATATTGCAAGCCACAGCAGTGTCACAAGTCAACAGAAGTCTGCAGATATTATTTTTCCCAAATTGTATTTGCCTGCTGAGATCATGGTTACGTTTAGTAAAGAGCAGAGAGCTTTTGCATTGAACATTACCTTTCCACAAACTCACCATCCCTGACATTTTGTAAGTTGTGCTCACGGCATGGAGAGAATGCTTAGGTGCCCTCAAGACCTTTGGCGTCATGAGTAGAGAAGTTGCGTCAGTTTGAATCTATAGCGAATCAGAACTAAAAAGTTCTTTAAAAAATGACGACTTCAGGTCGAATACGCGCCATGTGCAGCCCTTTAAACGTCACCAGAGTGCAGGTTTCAGTAGCCAAGTCCCATGAGACGTCTGTTCGTAGACGATCTGCAGCAAGGACTTTCCTGCA